TGCAAGTCTACATGAAACCCTAGAAAATTGATTTGTATGCAACGTACCGAAGTCTGAAAGTTAAAATTTAAAAACGTCTGGAATTGTCCGACTCAGTGGTTGCTTAGATTGTAGATATATCTGCATATAAAACTTTCAACCTTTTAATCAGATTTTTTTCAATTTCTAAATAGTGTAAGCTTGTAGTAGCAAGGAGTTTTGGTTTTTGGCAATTTTTTAGGCGAATTTTCGTCCATTAAAAAAAAGTTTTGGAATATAAGTACATTGTATGAAACAAATGCAAAACGCCTTCAACCAAAAAAAATCTTAAAAATAAACTTTAAAACTTTTCTTTATACTAGAATTCAATGAGCTGCAAACCTGCATATTCAAAAAATTCTAGGAAATTTGATTAAAAAGTTGAAAATTTGCATGAAAGTTTAAATATTAGCAGACAAAATTGTATACAATTCTCTGTACCAATACTTTTTGCCGTGAATGTACATATCTTTGTAATTGTCAGGGTTTTTTACAAGTATATGCTAAAAACGAAACCGCTTTCATAAATAAGGTTTTATNGTTTGTCGTGAATGTACATATCTTTGTAATTGTCAGGGTTTTTTACAAGTATATGCTAAAAACGAAACCGCTTTCATAAATAAGGTTTTATCAATAAGAATGAAAGAATGGAAAGAACAAGTTACTGCTGATTGGTATTCATTAGTACTTATGTTTAAATTGAATATTTAATCAAATCCGCGTCATTCAATTCCATCGAAGTGAATTGACTTCAAGTACAAAGGGTTCATTAAACCCTTAAAGCCCTCATAAAATAATAACTAAATTTTATATATATTTTGTATGGACATATATCAGCATGCAAGCATTTCTTTTCAATTTTCAAACAATGTGCATATTTAGATTGTTTCTTTTTTAACCTTAAAGTATCCATTATTTAATTCCAGCACCGTTAACAGCCAGCCGTATTTCATACAAAATGGCAACAGAAACCCTTCATCCGACATTGCTGGTGATCCTCTAGAGATTAGTAATTTTCGGCGGGCATTACCACAATTTTTAGCTGTAAGCGCTAAGAATATATTACTTTTTGGTAAATAAAAAAAAATTTTAATTATAATTGATTGAACATTTATTTCTAAACTTCCATAACAAGAACAATTAAAATATTAACATACCCATTATTTTTTCCTACAGTGTATGGTATGACGCTTGGCTTTCCCACCATTGTANAAAAAATGTTAATTATAATTGATTGAACATTTATTTCTAAACTTCCATTACAATAACAATTAAAATATTAACATACCCATATATTTTTTCCTACAGTGTATGGTATGACGCTTGGCTTTCCCACCATTGTAATACCCGCCATACAGGGCGGTGAGGGGCGTGAACCTAGTGATATAGTGTTAAATAGAGATGAAATATCTTGGTTTAGTAAGTATAGAAAATGAAACGAGGCTTTATACTAACCGAATATGGCAAATGAAAATATATTGCGCGTTTGATGGGAGAATTACGTATTTTGAAAATTCAAAATTTCAATAAAGTTAACTATAACCAAATGAATTGCAAAGACAAATCGATTTCTTCATTGCTATCGATTGCAATACCTATAAAAAAATCATTGCCCGCTAATAATATTCAATATCTAAGCGAATAAAACCACATACTACTTTTTAATATTCCTTTCAGGTTCTATAAATTTAATTTGTGTGCCTTTGGGTTGTCTTTTTTCGGGTCTTCTTACACAACCGATTGGCAAGCGACGCGCTATGCAGGTGAGTAATCATACTCTTTTCTACTTCCTACTCTTTCCACTATTGAGTACTAATATTTTTTTAGTTGGTCAATTTGCCAATTTTGGCGTCATGGCTTCTCTTCCACTTTTCGACGCGTACTGAGCACCTTTACGCTGCACTGTGTTTGAGCGGACTTGGCGGTGGTCTAATGGAAGCGCCGGTATTCTTACATATTTTATTTAATTAAAAGCAATTAAACTTTTTCCATTGTTCCCAGGTACTGACGTATGTCGCCGAAATTACCGAACCCAAGTACCGTGGCATTCTATCGGCGCTCGGCTCCACCTGTGTCATCACCGGTGTTTTCATACAATTCATTTTGGGCTCTTTGTTGGATTGGCGTACAATAGCCGCTTTGAGTTCTGCCTTTCCGATTATTTGTATAATTGCGCTGTGCTTTGTGCCCGAGAGTCCCACATGGCTGATACGCGAACATCGTTTCCGTGAGGCTGTCAAATCGTTGCAGTGGCTGCGTGGTTGGGTACCGGAATATATGATTGAAGCTGAATTTAATCGACTCTATGAGGAGTTAATAACACAGCCGGCTCTGGAGGAAGCTGTAGAAAATCACGGCGATAAGCCGTCGAAGTGCGCCAGTCGCTTCAGAATGTTTCGCAAGCGTTCATTTTTGGCGCCATTTTTGTTGGTCACATTTACATTTTTTACGGGACATTTTTCTGGCAAGACAAGTCTGCAAACGTACGCTGTGCAGGTGAGTGAGAAAATAGGTTTGTTCGTCGAGCAAAAAACGATTTGCCCAAATCACGTTCGTGCAGACCAAAAAATTATCCAACACTCAAAAATTGTGAGAGCAAAGTGACAGTTCTCTTGGAGAGAAGTTGCAAATTCTTGCTGGAAAAAATTTTGCCAGCAAGAATTTGCAAACACGAAAAACATGTGGTTGTGGCGCATGGTTGCATTTTTGTCTACAATAATTTGAATAAATTAGTTCGTTAAATTTAAAAATTTATAAACACGAGCGATTTTTTTATGAAAAAAGGAAGTAAATAATTGTTGATATAATTAATTTAGTTAATTCCAATGATTTGAACTTAATTCG